GTGTTGCCATCACCTCTTAGTGTTGCCATCACCTCTTAGTGTTGCCATCACCTCTTAGTGTTGCCATCACCTCTTAGTGTTGCCATCACCTCTTAGTGTTGCCATGACCCCACAGGACGACGGAGACGCTGCAGAGGACGAGTGCCTGCAGCTCTACAACGACTTCACCCCACCCGCCCCCCGCCCCCCTGCGCCCCCCAAGAAGGTAAATCAACAACAGTATAGTAATAATCAATGGTATCATCAATCAATAGTATATTATCGTCGGCGTTGAAAAATAGGCCTGCATACGGCATCAATATCTGCGATGTTAAGAATCGGCGACAGGCCTACGGCCTAATAACGCTGAAACCGCTATTATTATTATTATTATTATTATTATTTATTATTATTTATTAATATCACCAGGAATGCGTTAATGCTTTATTATTAACTCTGGGCACCCAGAAACATGAATGAGTTATATTGTCCAAATAGCGAGAGCCTTTCATACCCACAGCGCAAGCATGGAGCGGACGTAGCCCTGATTGTTCCTTTGCTGGGCCAAACTGGGTCAGTGTGACCCACATAAAGGCATAACGTGCATCGGTGTCTAGACAAAGACTTGCGCATATCAAATTTCCCGTTGGTTTCCCAAGCTTAATATTTTTGACGTGAGGAAATGGTTCAAAAGTTCGTGTGGGTAAAACGATAATGATAGAGAGACGGTTTTTTTAAGCGGCAAATCGCTTTTCTAACGTGGGTACAACGAGCTCTCAACGAGCTGAAAACTCGCCAAACCCGCTCGTATTTCGCTCATGACACGCTCATAACCCGCTCAGAACACGCCCATAACACGCTCATAACATGCCCAAAACAACCTTATAACTCGCCCATAACACGCTCGTAACATGCCCAAAACACCCTTATAACTCGCCCATAACACGCTCATAAAATGCCCAAAACACCCTTATAACCCGCCCATAACACGCCCATAACACGCTTATAACCCGCTCAGAACACGCCCATAACACTTTTTATATATGTATGACCCCGATATGTGTGACCCCGACGTCATAACTACAAAACTATCATAGTAATTCTCTAGACATTTTCATCTAATGTTTTACACTTCATTTCAGAAAGAAAACCACAGTTCGATAAATTTTTAGCAGGTAGTTTATATATTATATCAAAATTTCACATTCTGAGGTCATTTCTGACCCCATTTTGGGTCTCGAAGGGTTAAAATAATCACGCAGACGATCGTGCGACCCACGAGTTGTCCAACACCAACTCAAACGATAACTTCTTGGTATCTAAGATGAAGCCACCACAGAGGAGCTCATGTTTCGTTACTGCAAGAAGCTACCCTTTAGCATCCCATTTAGTTCGTTATCTACGATGCGCTAGTGTCATAACAAAAGCAATATGTGGGTCGCACTAACCACTTGAATTTCCTATTTACAAATATTTCGAAGTGTTAGGCGGACCATATGTCGAGCTCAGAAGACTATAGCGCTTGATTATTCGCCTCAATGGTGAGAACGCCTCGCCAGCAACTGCTTGCCTTGAAATTTTATGAAATAATAATTTTGGCTGGAGGCTGTCATGAAGAGTAGTGTAAGACATGGTTTCGCTGAAAGTAAAAATATTTCATTCTGAGCATAGAAAATCGTAACGGTGTTGTAGCTTCGTTACCTACTTATTTTTTCTCCACTGTCAATGCGAAAAATTGCTCACTGTTCAATTGATCACATCACATCCCAAGCTACGACTTAAATTCACAGTATGAAAACGAATCTCCATTTTAACACTTCGGATGAGGGATATGATCCTCATTTTGAATTACCGTCATTCAATATTATGAAAATTTTTACTATCATTTTTCTGGTTAAGTTTGTTCAAGTTGTTCTGAAGTTGCTTTTATTTCGTCATTTGCTTTTGATTGTTACGTACGTCAAGCAGCTCGTCAATTTACAGTTCATTTTTTCCTGCCTATAACACAACTTTAATTTTCTTGTATAAGTCGTCAGTTACTGACCGCATCCATTCAAATTAGATTCAATTCAAATTCTAACTTTTCGTTAGTACATTTTTTATTTATTCATGTAATTTTTTGTGCTACTAAATTTCCTTGTAGCACTCAGGACATCTATTGACCAAATTCATGTGAGCACTTTAACTCTAAAAGCATGCACGGCTAAACCTACATTATTCAGTAGCATGCTGAGCAGTAGACTGAGACATCATGCAGCAGTAGACAAGACTGAAATTCTTGATCACGTAAATTAATCTCAAGGTTATCGTTTAAGTTGAGTATTATGTCTGTTTGCAGACGTCTTGTCTTGCAGCTCTCATCAATTTACATCATTAATCAAATAATGAGAAGGTGCAGTCGTTACATTTTGGAATACTACCACTTCGGAGCGAATAAGTACAGTCATATCCCAATCATTAGGCAATACTACTGTAGGAGTTCAATCACTCGCTTTATAGTGGCAAATCGCTTGGGTAAAAATAATTATATGAGCGTGAATATTCGCTTTGTTCATTTTTCCAAATTTTGCTCGCTGCGGAAAATTCAGCAGCTACAAATTTAGGAGATTTTCAGCGAGTAATGAGTGACGATCCAAAATACACACCTACCAATGCTTGAAAATATTCAGACTTTTTCAGCAATTAATTTTATCCTTAGCATAATTTTAAATGAAAATTTCTTATAATTGAGTTCATTTAGGCTGGCGTGCTTCATAAGCTGAAATATTAGGTCGTGAAAAGTTTAAATCTTTGTTCGTGCTAAAAAATTTATTTATTCATTTATTATAAACGATAATTTTTAAATCTGGAGGAAAATCGAAAAATGATTCCATACAATATTTCAAAATATTCATTAGCTTATATGTGCAATTCAAAAGTTTTTTCTTTACTTTATTATTTTAAATGCCCATTATATTGGTTGCGGCTCAATATTGCATAATACATAATTAGTATAGAAAACTGGAAATCTGGCCTTATAATTCAATGCGATCTTCATTTATGGCGAAGGGCGACCGTTTTTCCGAGATGAATTTATTGCCGATGAAAGAATTCTTTACAGGAGGCAAAGCCCCGAACGATGCCACATTTCGTAATTATTGTTCATGATCTTTGCCAGCGTCAACTTGGCTTTGTTATCTCTAGTGCCCGTATTTTTTTCATTTTATCGAGTGTTAGAAACCCGTATGGGATGGCGATGTTGATGATTACAGATTAAGTAGACGGCAATGCAAATAAATTTGTTCCAAATCAAAAGTCGAACGATTTCTCTAGGGACTCCTAAATTTAGTTAATTTCTTGAACTTTTTTGGCAAGTTCTTCGGCTGCAAACTTCTTTTCGATTTGTTTAATTCTTTAATCAATGGTGGTCAAATTTGGATTAGACTCCTCCCCATCTACTCTTTCTGACTATTTGTGAGGGTGCACAGATCAAATGTAGTTTCCTTTAATCATTCCAAAAGTTTCTTTACTATGCGCAAAAGAAGCGCATAGCAAAACACGACAGATAATGTGAAGACGAACTTAAAGAAATTTTTAAGCTCGGTTCCTCGAGCCAAGAAAATTGCCAATATGCTCTAAAAGCATTCCGAGTAGATGCAAAAGCTAACAGAAGATTAAGATTAACTTGCAACGTTCGTTGCAAGTTAATCTTAAGGATCTTGAAATTTTGAAAATTTTGCTGCGAACTTTTGCAGATTTGAAATCAAATCTGATTTCTGAGCAGCTCCGGTCAGAAAGAAAAACCGTTGAGCAAGGAAACCAGTAAGCCGCGAAAGAAGCGCATAGCAAAACACGACAGATAATATGAAGAAGAGCTTAACGAGATGATAAGCTCGAGGAACCTATATCTGCTTATCATCTCGTTCAGCTGAGCCAAATTGAGCTGGAAGTCCAGCTTTATACTCCTGAGTATTGTGGATACCGACACTATATCTGTTACGTTTGGAATATCATTGAAATTTTTCAATTAATCACGTTGAAAAACGTGCGTTTGCGAATGCAAAATGCATCATTTTGCAAGAAATTGAACTTTAATAATTCGGTCATTCGTTTTGCCGTGCAGTATTTTTTTCAGCTGATCAATTGCTAATTTTCTTATTCAATTGTTGGTCTGAAATCGTTGCCCGAGTTCAGTATTCCCGCGCTGTCGGACGGCAGGTTGATACGCTTCTCTTAAACGGGGATAAAACAATACAAAACACAACAAGGCCTACAGCAGTAAGATTACATGTCTTCGCAATGGCAGAGATAAAATACTGGCAGAGATAATTGGACATTAAATAATGAAATTCTGCATGTAGCTGAATTTGGTCGTAAAATATTAACATAAAGCAGCAACTGGCACCATGCACTTGATCATGTACGCATATCGAGCATGCATGTACAGTGTACACACAAATAAACACACATGTACACACACGCATTTAACACACACACACACACATGTAGTACAGATAGATAGTCGCCCACCTGATTGCTGCTCGGTGGCCGATCACCAACATTGTACAGAGTCCTGTGCTTCAGAATTGTGTTCGATTCGAACCTAAGTGCCAAACATTAGTGTACTTCGAACAAATTAAATTCTCAATTTGCATTATTTTTACTCATTTGCCTATTGATTAGCATTATTTTAACCTGAATCCTCATCCTGATATATGTGGAGAAAAATAAGTCTGTATAAATTGCAATAAAGTGCATGATGTCAATAAAGAATTTATACTAGATGAAAGGACACGATGACGATAACGAATTCTGTCGTATTTCTTAGTTGTATTCCAACAGTAATAAAGAAATAGAGGTGATGTAGGTGGTGATTTATTTATTTCTTTGTCAGCTTTTCTTTTGTCAGAGGGTATAAAAGTTGAAAAGTATAAGTCGTCTGAAAGAGACAGTCGGTCTCTAAATCAGGGAAGAACGAAAGTCAACGGCTCTTAAAATTACAGCAGACCTCAATGGACGCCTACAGAACTCAGTTTCCATAAAAACTTTTTATTGGGAGTCGCAGTTAGAAGAGCTCTGGTCTCAAATGCAAATGAAAACCACACCAACTTACGAATGCATCGTTGCACTCAATACGATACACTGTTGCACCATGGTTGAATTAATACAAATAAAATATTAATTCAACCATGCTGTTGCACGATGAGTGCATTGTTGCACTCATTTGGCGCAGCTTCAATTCACTTGAGAATTTTTCTGCCCTGGAAGTCGACCAAGCAACATCTCATATTTCACCTGCGGCCTGACGCTGGGCCCACGCTACATTATTCTACTGTTGTATAATTTTGTGTGAAACTCTATCAGCATTTATTTAATTATTTATTTCTGGTATGTTAACCAGGTATGACGTATTTAAGGCTCACCGTAGTATACGTTTGGGGATAACCTCCATTTGGGACGTTTAAGGTGGATATAAATTAACTTGGGTCATTTGCTTAGGGTCTAGTATAGGTAGATGGAGGTTTAGGGTTTCATTCCTCCTCTAACTGTTACCCCTGCATTTGAACCTCCTACTGTCCTGCCTGTCCTTTCTGGTGAGCCTTCCTCCTACTTTACACTCCTACTTTGTTAGGGTTTCATTCCTTGAATTATTGCCTATAGCCGTTGAGACCTTGGCTACACACTCACTCGAATAGATTTAGCATATTATAATGAATTGAATTTTTCGATTCTCTAATTAGTAATTTTTACTTAACCTATTATGTAGAGAATCGAAAATTTTCTGTTGAAAGTCACGCCCAATAAAAATCTACTGATGAGAAAAACAGCCAAAAGCAATTTACCGATGACAAAAACAGCCAACAACAATCTACCGATGAGAACAACAGCCGACAACAATCTACCGATAAGAAGAACAGCCAACAACAATGTACCGATGAAAACAACAGCCACCAGAAATCTACCGATGAGAACAACGGACAACAACAATCTACCGATGAGAACAACAACCAACAACAATCTACCGATGAGAACAACAGCTAACAACAATCTACCGATGAGAATAACAGCCGGCAACAATCTACCGTCCAGTAATGGGAAACCACCCTCAGCAAGTGACAAGCAACAGCATCTTGCATCAGCTGGCCCAAATGAGGGCAAATAGACGGAACACGTCCAACGTTACATCCGGGACCCGAGGGCGGGGTGCCCTGCCTAGCGACGACTCGGAGACGGAGGATGACGAAGGCGGGGCATCAGCGTGACCGGGGACTAGGAAGTCCTAAACTCAGCACAAGATCACAAGTGTACAGCACAGCTGTACACTTGTGATTTGCTATATATATTTATATATAATCTGCTGATGCGCCGCATTCGTCGGCCCTCAGCCGTCGGCAGGCAGGTTGTCTGTACTGTAAATCGACTTTTATACACCTTTGACTGAACTCGCGTTAGTTGCTATAGTGAAGGACCAGCGTATTTACAGACAACCTCGCTAGACCACGGACAGCCGTCCACCGAGTGCAGCGCTTGTGTTGCATGAGGCAGGGCTATACTAGGAATCGCTAGCTCGTCAATCGCTTCGTTGCCCACAAGAAGCGCACGTCGAGGGGCGGTGAGGCGCTTGGCGCCCGTGTGTTGCCCCTAGTGTTAACACACTCATAACCCGCCCATAACACACTCATAACCCGCCCATAACACACCCATAACGCACTCAATACCCGCCCATAACTCGGCAGGTCGAGGCAGAGGAGGCCGGGGTGTGCGGCGTGCAGCGCGTGGCGCGTCCTGGCGCTGTGGGCAACCTCCTGGGCCGCCCTCGTCCCGCCACCGCTCGCTTATCCCCCCACCAGGTGGGTCATGTGTCACCAGGTGGGTCATGTGTCACCAGGTGGGTCATGTGTCACCAGGTGGGTCATGTGTCACCAGGTGGGTCATGTGTCCCCAGGTGGGTACTCTGGGGCGTTATCTTTGAGATGTTTTTGTGTACTATTGATATTTTGTGATAGTGTCAAATTTTCAAGGTTCAGATTGTGGAATTGGAAGTCAATGATTGGCCGAATCTTATATCCTTTGCGTTGATTGAAATTACCAGGCATTATTGGTAAGCGTGAGCTAATACCTGCGATTGCAAGAGCTAATACATGTGATTGGTAGGAGTTAATATCCGTCATTGGCAAACGCTAATACATGTTATTGACTTAAGAAAACGACCGTGATTGGCTGAAGCAAATACCCGTGATTGGCAAGAGCTAATACATGTGATTGGCTGAAGCAAATACCCGTGATTGGCAAGAGCTAATACATGTGATTGACTGAAGCAAATGCCCGTGATTGGCAAGAGCTAATACACGTGATTGGTTGAAGCAAATATCCGTGATTTGTAGGAGCTAATACACGTGATTGACTGAAGCAAATATCCGTGATTGGTAGGAGCTAATACACGTGATTGGCTGAAGCAAATATCCGTGATTGGTAGGAGCTAATACACGTGATTGGCTGAAGCAAATACCCGTGATTGGCAAGAGCTAATACCCGTGATTGGACGCAGGTGATGATGCAGCGCTACGCGAAGCTGAAGCAGGAGCAGGCGGCGCTGAAGCAGCAGCTGGAGGAGCACAAGCAGCACCTCAGCACTCAGCACCACGCCCGCGTCAGGTACACCGTGCTAACTGTTGATGGCATCCTTACTTCTTTTATTGACTTGCTTATTCATTGACTGCAAATAAAGCTGCAATTATTTAAACACATTATTCAAATTATACAAACTGTTGTAAGCTATGATCAAGAAACTTGCCTTAATTTTAGTTACAGGCATAGAAGTGAGTAAATTTCGTTGGTTTGTTTTGCCGGTGCCCCTGTTGAATCTTTCCCGCTTGGACGCATGATCAAGAAACTTGTCTTGATTTTTATTTTAAGGCACAGAAGTGAGCGTTGATTTGTTTTCCTGGTGCCCCTGATTATTCATGATGTTTGATAGCCTGTCTCTGTGAGCAGTGCCAGCAGCAGCTCAGGTGCTGACAGCGCTGCCAAGACAGCTGCTGACGCAGCCTTACCTCTTGGTGAGATCCTGACGTCAGACACCCACGGGGAATGATAATAAAACGTAGGATGAAATGCACGGGAAATAAGATAATCGGGGAACATAACACACGGGATATAGAATATGCGGGGAAGAGGATACACGGGAAATAAAATATGCGGGGTAGGAAATACAGGGAAATGAAATAGATGGGAAATGAAAAACGCGTGGAATGAAATTCATGGGAAGTGAAATATAGGTAGGGGGAATTAAATACGCAGGAAATGAAAATCGCGTGTAAGGAAATGAAATATACCGGGAGTGAAATACACGGGAAATGAAATAGGCGGAAAGATAATACTTACACGGGAAATGAATTCTACGGGGAGTGAAATGCATGGAGAATTTTAGAAGCGTTCTTTGTGAGATCCATACCACACGTAACGACGAAGGGCGCAGCGAGCTGCTATTAAATATTCGCTAATGCAACGTAAATATATTCATGATGAATGCATTCAAAGCTATCGAAAATAAATTCATGGAATATTGAGCAGGTTCTTCACGCAAGCCACGCGTTGGCGCAGTCAGCAACGTGTCAGCTCTCCTGACCGCCTCCAAGCAACGCCTACATGGATCACCATCATCATCACGCCCATCATCATCACAACCATCATCGTCACAACCATCATCGTCACAACCATCATCGTCATCACTACCATCATCGTCGACGCGGCCGTCCCCGTCTTCAGCCTCGCGGTTCAAGGCCGCCGCGGAAGCCCTCCGCGCCAAGCCTGTGGCCACGACCGCGAGTGCCGGTGCTAAGGGCGTCAAGCGCGTCGCCCACGTGCCTAAAGTGGTGAGTGGCGGCCGCCCACCTGCTTAAAGTGGTGAGTTGCAGCCGCCCACGTGCCTAAAGTGGTGAGTGGCGGCCGCCCACGTGCCTAAAGTGGTGAGTTGCGGCCGCCCACGTGCCTAAAGTGGTGAGTTGCAGCCGCCCACGTGCCTAAAGTGGTGAGTTGCAGCCGCCCACGTGCCTAAAGTGGTGAGTTAGCGGCCGCCCACGTGCCTAAAGTGGTGAGTTGTAGCCGCCCACGTGCCTAAAGTGGTGAGTTGCGGCCGCCCACGTGCCTAAAGTGGTGAGTTGCGGCCGCCCACGTGCCTAAATTGGTGAGTTGCGGCCGCCCACGTGCCTAAAGTGGTGAGTTGGCCGCGAGTGGCGGCCGACCACGTGCCTAAAGAGGTGAGTATGTCTGGCAGGATGACGCTCATTTGGTTACTCATGAACGGAATTAGAAAAATAGAACAGAGCAAGTTAGGATGGATCTCAATATCAGCTATCAATATTTAACTAATTACTCTATAGCTAAACCATTGTTGTTGTTATTTACTTGAGTTTATGTTGTGCAGGAGGTGCTGGAGCGGCCAGTGATAGCGTCCGAGTTCGGAGGGAAGGTCCCCCAGAACATAAGGCAGCGCTACCTCAACTCCTTCATCGATGAAGCCCTTAAGTTTTCTGAGTGTCCCAGCGATGCCTTCAAGATCGCTCTCTGTGAGGAGAAGGTAAGCTTCCGGTAATTCTAACTCAACCGTTTTTATTCCTTCGTTGTTATAGCTTTCTTTGACACTTCTCTCTAACACTTCCAGTATTCTGTATCTGGGAGGTATTTCGTGCAGAAGTTGTACCCACGTGCCCACGTTGTACCCCACGTGCCCACGTTGTACCCCACGTGCCCACATTGTACCCCACGTGCCCACATTGTACCCCACGTGCTAAGTCTGTCTCTTATACACATCTCCCAAATGAGGGCAAATAGACGGAACACGTCCAACGTTACATCCGACGACGACTCTGAGACGGAGGACGACGAAGGCGGCGCATCAGCGTGACCGTGGACTACGACGTCCTATACTCATCATNGTGTTGCCTACATGGCTATGTTGTGTTGCCTACATGGCTATGTTGTGTTGCCTACATGGCTATGTTGTGTTGCCTACATGGCTATGTTGTGTTGCCTACATGGCTATGTTGTGTTGCCTACATGGCTATGTTGTGTTGCCTACATGGCTATGTTGTGTTGCCTACATGGCTATGTTGTGTTGCCTACATGGCTATGTTGTGTTGCCTACATGGCTATGTTGTGTTGCCTACATGGCTATGTTGTGTTGCCTACATGGCTATGTTGTGTTGCCTACATGGCTATGTTGTGTTGCCTACATGGCTATGTTGTGTTGCCTACATGGCTATGTTGTGTTGCCTACATGGCTATGTTGTGTTGCCTACATGGCTATGTTGTGTTGCCTACATGGCTATGTTGTGTTGCCTACATGGCTATGTTGTGTTGCCTACATGGCTATGTTGTGTTGCCTACATGGCTATGTTGTGTTGCCTACATGGCTATGTTGTGTTGCCTACATGGCTATGTTGTGTTGCCTACATGGCTATGTTGTGTTGCCTACATGGCTATGTTGTGTTGCCTACATGGCTATGTTGTGTTGCCTACATGGCTATGTTGTGTTGCCTACATGGCTATGTTGTGTTGCCTACATGGCTATGTTGTGTTGCCTACATGGCTATGTTGTGTTGCCTACATGGCTATGTTGTGTTGCCTACATGGCTATGTTGTGTTGCCTACATGGCTATGTTGTGTTGCCTACATGGCTATGTTGTGTTGCCTACATGGCTATGTTGTGTTGCCTTGCAATCTCTGCCTGTAGCCATGCTGATGCGCCGCATTCGTCGGCCCTCAGCCGTCGGCAGGCAGGTTGTCCGATCCTCTGAGGCTACTAAGTGTTTCGTTACGTAGCAGAAAAAGTTATTATTTTTTTAAATTTTAAGGATGAATATTCCATCCTTTCAGCATAGTATGCTACAATCTTGGTCTCTCCATCTGAATGGATATCCCCCCTCGGAGATAGAGGTTTAACCACAGCACTCATATTCACTGTGTTAATTCAGGTCCAACTCTCTTAGGTCTCAATTATTGAGGCATTGTTCACCAGTTCACCAGTCATCGTTCACCAGTCAATTACGCCTCATCGTTCACCAGTTCTTCCCTATTGAGGCATCGTTCACCAGTTCACCATAGTTGGTCTGTAGAAACAGACCCTCTGATCTGTGTTGAGGGAGGCACCAGAATCTAGTACAGCTTCCAGTGAGCCTTCACCTAATGAAACTGCCAGCATTACCAGCAGCTGTAAGAGACAGACTCTCATTACAGAGCTGCTAACATTACCAGCAGCTGTAAGGGGCAGACTCATTCCAGAGCTGCTAACATTACCAGCAGCTGTAAGGGGCAGACTCTCATTCCAGAGCTGCTAACATTACCAGCAGCTGTAAGGGACGGTCTCTCATTCCAGAGCTGCTAACATTACCAGCAGCTGTAAGGGACGGTCTCTCATTACAGAGCTGCTAACATTACCAGCAGCTGTGAGAGACGGTCTCTCATTACAGAGCTGCTAACATTACCAGCAGCTGTAAAGATTTACCCGCATTCCAGAGCTGCCAGCCGCCCCCTCGACCGCCCCCTCGCTGCCCAGCCACCCCGTGAACCCCAACCACCGCGTGCAGAGCCACTTCTCCACCCTGGCGGGGGGTGGCCAGAAGGGCTCCTGGAGCATCGAGAAGCCCGCCAAGACCGACGTCCAGGCTGTCTATAAATCACTTACAGGTAATACTTTCTTGCTTCATTTATTCTCTGACAGCAGTTATTTGTAGTAAGACTTTGCGAGTTAAGCAATTATTTTCAGATGTATTTTATCTTGCATAATCACGAGCTGCACATTTATTTGCAATCGTAATTGTATCATGTACCCTCTGTTTACCCGACATGCCCTGACTCACCATATACCCCACATGCTCTGACACCCCATATACCCCACATGCCACTCATTATTTACCCCACACTCGCACTTACAGGGGCCAAGCTGTACCAGTTTGTGCAGCGCTACCTCATGACGAAGGAGCAGCTGCTGGAGAACGGTTATCCACACGCACACCCCGACGTCAAGGGCAAGGCCGTCTGCAAACTTGTGAGTCCGCCTCGCTGACCAAATTAAAAAATAATTTGGTGGTCCTGAGAATAACAAGTTAATCAGTCCAGTTTGCGAAACCGCGTGTGTTTTTTAGCGCATTTTCTCATTCATGGAAAAAATGTCCTATTGCGCCCGTCATGTCCGTCTGTCTGTCTGTCCGTCCGTCCGTCTGTCCACGACTTCATGTTTTCGTCGACGATAAAATACGCTCTCTGTCACTCACTGCAGTGAGTACCGAGTTATATTTTTTACACTCAGTGACAGATAGCGACACGAAAACACACGTAACGGTTAAAAGGTGTAGAGTTTGTGGCCTTTACTCCGCTTATGTGTGCCTAATAGCCAACATTTCCAGGAAAGTGTTTTTTTTATTGCTTTGTTGAGCTGCTGTGTATCAGCCTCAAATAGTGCCGGGTTTTTCTCAGACCCTAAAAAACTTTTTAAATTCAACTATTTTTCATCAACCATGAGTTTACTAAGCGTTGAATTTATCATTCGATATTGGCCATTACCCAATAAAAAAATTTTCATAATCCTTGATGATATTGAACGATGTATTCGATGCTTGATATGGATGTTATTAACTACTTGATATTGCAGGACAGTCGCGCGGTGCTGAGCCCCAGCCCCACGGAGCGCTACTGCAGCCGCTGCAACGCCCTCTTCGTCGTGGACGACTGGGGCTTCCCTAAGGCCATCGTCAGGTGAGACTGTCGCCTCTTCGTCGTGGACGACTGGGGCAAAAACCAGCATGATACATACATAATATAAATTACAGAATAAAACTGTACGAAAGATTTCGGTGTAATGTTGTCAACCTCAGCCTGTTACTAGAGTGTCAACATGTTGTTACTTGTTAAGTTGTTACCAGTTACTACTTACAGGTATTTTTTTAAGTTTCACTTTGCTTACTGTTATTTTTTCACAATTATTATAGTAATATCCTTACTATATTACTGACACATTTTTACACGAAGCATATAGCAAAAGTATACCATATTTTAATGCATGTTTCATTGTATGGGCAGCTGCGCGTATCACTGGGGGCGGGCAAACAAGCGGCGCGTGGCAACGGGCCTGGAGACGCGCTACAGCTGCTGCATGGGGGACCTGCAGAGCGAGGGCTGCTGCCTCGCCTCTACACATGTCTCCGACAACCTCAACCCTGACAACTACACCGGCTTCGTCAGCACACTCCCCCCAAACCCCGGCACCTCGTCCCACCATGCCGTCTATGCCCTGGGTACGACTCGACGACTCTTCGTGGACATCGATCTCACAGATTAATTTATTTATATCATTATTTATTTATATTAAGATTAATTTATTTATTAAGGCAGCTACAAGATTTTACTGCATCATCAGTGAATTGTTGAACCCGATTGGCGGTTAGAGCAGTTGAAAGTTGTTACACCATCATAAGGGTGTAGCCGTAGCCACAAATTAAACTCCTAAATGATCCCTGGAACCAACGCCAAGCCGCGGCTTGCAATAACTCCTCTCAGCCATAGTGCTAGAAGCTGCAGACAACGCTGGATCTAGACCAGTGAAACTATGGTTGAAAATAAAAACGTCGTACATCATTAGCCAATGCTTAAGCGCTTACTTGCTGTCTGCTGGCAAGTGCGCGTGTGATTGGGTGTTGTGCATATCCCATTCGCCGCGCTTAAGGACGCGACCAGAGCTAAAGTATGCATGCTCACTTGTAAGCTGGCAGTTCTGCATCCGGCCTCATCTACTCCAGCCTAACATATACACGCTGCCCCGACTCACAACCTTTTAGCAGCAATGATTGCCTCTGCCTGCTCAGTTTCCCCGCCTCTATAACTTTTTTGTCAGATGCGGTATGACCATCTTCAACTTGACCATCCTTAAGTGGTGTCAGTGGCCATATGGCGCTATTGCTTTACGCACATGACTTCATGGGCTGCTATGCCCTCTAGCGTTCTTACCCGCGGAAAGGAATATGAAATAAAATGTAGTTTTACACAGCTATCCTCCGTCATACGCTCCCACTATCATCAGATGAATAATTGAAACCACGTAGTTGGATAAGGCAGTTATTTTATGTCATATTATCGTCAATTAGCAAGAACTGAACGCCTGTGGATGAAGTGGATCTATAACTTGTGTGAATCCAAAATCAGTTGAATGTATCGTCAACCGACAATTTGCTTCTTGTCTCGATACTAACCATGACGATAGTTACTGGAAAGAAGTGATTGATAATGACCTTTACTGTAAAAATTATGAGTGTTGTGCGCTTACAGATTGCGAGATGTGTTACACGACGGGAGGCAGTGAGCTGACGCGCGTTACCGTGGTTGATCACGACAGCCGGGTGGTCTACGAGAGTTTCGTGCAACCCCACAACCAGATACTCGACTACAACACTAGGTAAGTTGCGGCAGTTTCGTGCAACCTGCCAACCAGATACTCGACTACAACACCAGGTAACTTGGGGCAGTTTCATGCAACCCCACAACCAGATACTCGACTACAACACTAGGTAAGTTGCGGCAGTTTCGTGCAACCCGCCTACCATGTACTGTTTATGTGATCACCAAACACTTTTTTCTGTGATTGCCGGAGGTTCACCGCTTCTCATTAATGACCTATGCACGACGGACGCTGGTGACCGAGTGGCTTCTTGTACTTGGCCGACGCCTGGCCATTAGTCGGCCACCTGGAAGCTGCCCCTTAATGTTAACCAGCGCAGCGACAGGAATATGGTTTGAGGGATCACGAGATCGAAAGAAGATCTGCCAAAAGATCAGGAGGAGGTCTGGCGAGTAAAGATCAATCATGAGATAGAAAGGTGATCTGCCAAGTAATTGAGAGAAGATCTACCAAGAGGTCGTGAAACGATCTGCCAAAAGGTCAGGAGATGATCTGCCCAGGAGAAGATCTGGCAAGACGTCATGAAGAGATCTGTCAAGAAGCCATGTGAAGATCTGCCAAGAGATCGAGAGCAGATAGTTTCTGGACTGAGGATCGCGACTGATCCTTAGCACTTGGTGCGCTCTAGAGATAGTGTGGTGCAGCCCTCTAACAATACACTGGGCTAAAATAAAAATAGCTCCCTGCTATGTCTAACTCAAACTCACTTACTCCTACTTACTTACTATTACTTACTTATTCTTACTCAGGTTCTCCGGCATCACGGAGGAGCAGCTGGAGGATGTGACGACGACGCTGCGTGACGTGCAGGCAGCGCTGCTGACGCTCTTCAGCTCCAGCACCGTCCTCGTGGGGCACAGCCTCGAAAGCGACTTCAGGGCGCTCAAGGTGCCGCATGCCAGTCACTCACAACCTCAGTGTATCTCACACAACATCGCACAACTCGCCCAACCTCTCACAGACTCGCACCATTTCACATAACTCGCCCAACCCCACACAACCCATCCAACCTTATCTAACTTTCCCCAACGTCGTACGTATCTAATACTACCAACCGTATCCTAGTTCTCCCAACCTTATAAAATTTCACCCAATCTTACCCTGTACCCTGCCGCTTCACTGATGCTGGTAACAGTACCATATTATAACGAAACCCAACTCCGAAATCTGAGTATTCTTGAAACTTGCGGGAACTCGCTACATGTTTGGTCTTGAATTTAAACAGAGGTGTTACCGTCATCATATAATACTAGGGAAATAACTGCTAAGTTCCCAAAATTTAACTGTTGTGAGAAATCAACTTGGTAGTTTCATTCATTAATAATGTCTGCTACATAGTCCACAGACTCTCACTTCACGCATTGACCATGTCGCTGCATCAATTGGCAACATCACTTCGCACAATGTTGTACATAATTAACAAAAATTTTTTAATTCTCGTTACACATTCCCACGATAACTTCGTCATAGTTTCACATAATATTATGTTATTATATCGTGTTGTAGTATTGTGCATTAATATATTTTTATCGGATTGTATTGTAATGTCGTGCAGTTGATCCATCACACGGTGGTGGACACGAGCGTGCTGTTCCCCCACAAGATGGGCCCGCCTTACAAGCGAGCGCTGCGCAACCTCGCTTCGGAACACCTCAAGAAGATCATCCAGAACGACGGTGACTCCTGCTGCCCTCGCCACGACCTCAACTTCTGATAACACTGCTCCTCCTAGTGACACCGCACCTCCTAGTGACACCGCTCCTCCTAGTCTGTCTCTTATACACATCTAGATGTGTATAAGAGACAGCCTCTAGACGGATCCTGTGTGATGGTCCTGGCTTGTACACGGGAGGACCTCTAGACGGATCCTGTGTGATGGTCCTGGCTTGTACACGGGAGGACCTCTAGACGGACCTTTTGTGATAATCCCGGCTTGTGACGTACCGCAAAACTGCGAGCATTTAACTTACCTCTTGTTTATTGTTTGTTCAAAGCTTTAATGTAGAATTAAAAGAAAATGAAGTTTGTAGAAGGGGAAATATTCGTGATTTCGCTGTACAAACTAATTGTTAGCGAACTACTTTCACAATCACGATAAGTTATTTGTGCTCATAATTTTCATACAGGTATGTCGACCTGCACAAAGCGCACAAGTAATTTTATGAGACCTACTTTCATCTCAATAAAAGAGACGGATAGAATTCAATAATTTAATTATATTTATTGACGTTATTGATGCTTATGTGTCCAATTTGTCTTTAATCCAATTTTTGATTAATGAATTGTTGATAGCTATACATGCCGTATAGCAGTACTATTATCTCAATGAAAGTTCTATTTTGTCGGCATTATATGCTGAAAAGCGTTATGTGCTTAGTCCAACGCGACGCTCAAGCTATCGATTTTGTTATATTTTTGGCACTTCTTTGTCATATTTTGCATTCAAACCGTATTCGGTTCTTTCGTATTTTATGGAAGAAGTGGATGCATGTTGAGGCACATTGGAAACTATATCAGTCTATATGTTGATCCCCAAGAATACCTGGTTCCCAATAGTTGGTCACAAATTAGGTACATGTGTCCAATAAAAATTAAATGATGACGAATGAATTTTAATTTACTTCTTAAAAATTTCTCCGCAATGCGTTTTCCACAAAGCAAACCCAAAATTAATTGGAACTTGAAACGAACAATAATAAATTTATTTACTATTATAGTCAGACTAGATAAAGCTATGGAAAAAGATATGTTGACTTGAAATGCCTAGCACCATATCGAACCCGGTGGAAGTCTAATAGCTATTTCGAACTATCGTCAGTCCTGAAAAGATCCGGTCAAATGACACGACTTTAGATCTGTGAACAAGGCACGAAAAGTAAATGAATCGGCGACAGGCCACATCAGGCCTACACTTCAGCGCCGACATCACCATGTTATGTTATGAGTTTCGAGTAATCACATCTAACTTAACCATGACTATAGTAGTATAGTATAGCGATGTTAGCGTTCCGCCCGACCTCTTAGCCTACATACCTTGTTGACCGAAATTGTTGCAGGAAGCTGGGATCGAACCCAACAACTTCCTGCTCCAAACTTGATACTCTAAACTGTAAAGAAGTGTCCATTCGGTATGATAGCTGGGGTTAATACTAGGTAGGTACTACCATGGTTGAATTAATGAATTAATTCAACCATGGGTACTAAGCAGGCAGTAATTCGCCCCTTCCATCTCCAGCGCTCGTTTTAAACTCGCTAAAACTGCTTCAGTTTTCTATTCTTGTATAATATAATATTTTCTATGATATTTTAATTACAGTATTAATACACTTGATTATCGTTCCCTATGACAATATTTATTTTAGAAAAGTCGCAACGCCTCATTATCAAGGTAATTTTGTATATTTCAATTAAGCGTTAAGATTTTTTGTAGCTTTTGTACGATTCAAAGTTGAATATAGTGTGTGTTTTTTACTGTATTAAATTCATTTTTAGGGACGAAATTCTTTTTTTTTAACCATGCAGCCGCGCAGCGTTGCCAGATGGTATATTTTTATTCCAGATTCAACAAATCTGGTATTTTCAGAACGTGTCTGGTATGAATGTCTTAAATCTGGTATTTTCTGACTAGCTGCAAATTCACTGCACTAAGTTCCACCTATTAAGTTTAAACTTCCCCAGCGTAGGCGTGGATTATATAGATTACCTTCAAACCGGCGCGACTAGAGGTTTCCCGCCATTTTTGGAACCGCAAGTTCACCGCTTGATGAAATAACCCCAATTTAATTGTTAACTTTTAACAGAAGTGTTTTGTGCAATATGAGCACGAGAGTGATGATCCTTGATTGATTAATAATCTGTGATGATATGGCCTAGGACGAGTGAGGTTGTCGAACCGATCTCTGCGACGCAAGCTCCACCATTTTTGTTTGGTGGTTTTGAATTCTAGAGTGCCACTTGAATTCTGGGATGCCATTCAATATTTCACTGATCTTGAAAATCATCATCCATTCATAACTGGCTGCCTACTGCATCACTGGTCTACTTTGACCTGTCTCCAATGCTTTCGTGGTTCAAGTGTTTTCACAAGTCACCTATGCGTAAAACAAGCAACGACATTTCAACTAAGGTATTGGAGTCCCTTATTCGGACCATAAGCTATCTGCTCAACCGCGACGAGTGATCACACCCGAAATGTTAGATTAATGCAATATGCAAGCATGTACGAAAATAAGCAAAACGAAGATGACCTGTTTCCGTGGCTTGCTCATGTTGAGCGAAAGGGAAGAAGTGCCGCACTGTGATAAAAAAAAACGAAAAAGTGTCAATTTAATCAAACACAGGAAAAGAAAAGTGTCAAAATGTTCCAAACAGAGGGAAAAAATATAACTTGTTAAATTTGGCTAATTATCGTCAAGCCAGATAAATGCACATTACAAAAGATAAAATTTTTTCTTCTTCTAACCAACGTTTCTGGCGAATAGTTTCATTGTATTTGGAGGTATTAGTCTGTTTTTGAACATTAGAATTTCTGGTATTTTAAGCTAGGCAATCTGGTATTCTCGCCAAGAAAAAAACCTGGCAACACTGCTGCCGCGGGTGATTTGAAACAGAACACCAGACACGGTCAGGGAGGCAGGGCTCTCGACGATTAAATTTATGATGATTATTATTGGAGGCTGTAATTCGCAGAAAATCTCCTCAATTCAAACAGCTGAAAGTTGATTTATAGAGAAAGCCATTTCATGTCTTATAGTAAAAATTTTTGTTGAAGTACGTATTAGACCTACTAATATATTTTATAGTACTTATAGTTTGATTTTGTTCTCTTTACAGTTTATCACTTTATCATCATCAGTTTATGTGGAGTCGTCAGTCGTGGAGTCTTAGAGTTAGACTTTTTGGATGCAATGATTGCCTCAGAGATTAGCCAGTATGAGCTGATGAGAAACAAAAATGTGGCTGAACGTCATTTTCTGGTGAGTTAAACGTTTGCAACTCATACTCTGATTCTTAATTCATTTAATCCAAACATTCTAATTTGATGAGATATTCTACTTGGAATTTTAATTATCACAGTCACTACTGCTGTCGGCCTGCCGCCTGTCGCTGTGGCCAGCCTGTGGCGTGGGTGCTGCCCACTGAGTGCCCAGTTGGAAATTTCACTTCCCTGACAGAGGTACTAATTTTCCTACTTGCACGAGAAATGGGCTTCAACATATAAAGATGAATTCAGGCAAAATGTCTAGCCTATGTCTTGCCACAGAATTGATTAATTCTGCAGATATACACTTTATTCCTCCCAATGTACCAGGTTCATGGGTGCAAACTTTGCAGGCAGCTTTGAAAAGATATGGATTTTTAGCCCAAAGCATTGCCAGCCATTTTCGAGATGTCATCGGACACCGGGTAGGGTAAACGCGGTATATTCCGACACATTAAGAAGGACGTAGCAAGAAATGTATGCATAGTGGCAAACCAGTGATTTTTTAGAATCAGTCAATTTTTAATTTCCGTATTTACTCAAGATTTTAACAGATTTCTTATGTACGATAATTCTGGTAGGTACCTAGTATCCAAGATACAATACTTTACTGGTCTACTTATACTATCTAATATCTATAGGACTCAAAAATAAACTTGAGGAAGAGTCTAGAAAACTCTCTGCTTTGTGAGACTAATTCCGGCCCCACTTCAAAAGTTCAAACTACTAATTCATAATTCTGACCCTCTTGTGTTCAAATTCCGATTGCTGTGTGAGCTGTATTGGAATATGACACTGCTGGGAATTAGAACACTATTGAATATTGAACACTTACTTAATTAGGCTTTTAATTAAGAGCTATTAAGCTTTTAATTAAGAAAAATTTAATTTTTGCACACAGCTTGGTACGAGTTGTGTGTCTAATTGCAAGCTGTGTCGGAATTAGTTTTTATGTGTCTAAAACCGTCTCTTAACTTAATCATCTATTATTTTATTTACCACTTGAAATCAGCTGTCAGCAAATACAAGTATACTTAAAGGATTCCTAGTATATCCACAGACTTATTTAAAAGTCTCAAACCATAAAATTCTTTCTACACAAACAGTTTATCTCTATTTGGTAGAGCAAGGTCTACTATCAACTTTGACACGTTTTTCGATGTTCTCACTCAGTGACATGCACTGTCTCTCTTTGGATCTTAACATTTTTCCGCCCAGAGCAAGTATTTTGGTACTAGTATGCTAAGTATGGCGCGCAATAGTATGATGTTGCTACTTCATCCATCAACGAATGCGTGGAACTAAGACAAAGCTTAATATAAAGGAAAAAGTTGAGAAGTGTCAGAATTACCCACGATGTCGGAATATACCGCGTTTACCCTAATTTTTAATACGACAGTGCTGCAGGCATTTTTGGTAGTAGCCTATATCCTTTGCTCTCCACGGCCACGCACTGCAACACTTATACTCATTGCAACTGATTTCCAGACAAGTTTCACTGCATTCTGATTCTTCACTGTGCATGATCAAGCCACAACATTCCTAATGCATCAAAAATTGGTGATTAGGATCCCATATTTCATTCATAAGTAAGAAAATTCTAATCTAGCCGGATCATTGGGCTGGACGGCCCTGGACCCCTGGTTGAAAAAATGATTCACTGGTAAATGGTGATCCATATTCCATTACAAGTCTAGAATTAGGAAGAAGTTTCTAATCAATTCAGGAAAAATAAATATGTATACACTTGA